GGGCCTCGGAGCCTGAGGGATGGAGAGGAGGTGGGAAGATGCAGGAAGGGGTGGAGGGATGGAGGAGGAGAGAGGGTGGAGAGAGAAAGCTACCCAACAGACAGGAGCAGAGATGGAGATGCACAAAGAGAGGAGAAGGCTGACTACAGACGGGAAAAATAGAGACAGAGATGGCAAGAGAGATGGAGACCATCAGAGACGGGGTTGAGGCAAGAGAGGGAGGTGGAGGGACACAGAGATGGGGGCAGAGAGGGGCAAAGATAGAAGAGAAGGAAGGAATGGTGAGGAGGAGAAGAAAAGAGACGGGGAAATAGCCAGAGTTGTCGAGAGGCACAGAGAGGAACAGACAGAGACGGAGTCAGAGATGTAGAGAGACAAAGAGATGAGAAAGAGAAGGAAAGAGCCAGCCACAAAGATGGGAGAGAGATGTAAAGAGAGCTGCAGAGAGAGATGGACAAAGAGAGGGATACAGGTGAGGATTGCAAGGGGTCTGGGGGGCACACACAGGTGGAGGGACAGATGCTGGGGAGAGGTGGGGACAGATTGGAGGGGCAGAGAATGAGGGAGAGAGGCAGAGAAGGCACAGAATTTTGGGAGTTGCTAACCCAAGATTCATTTCTGCTTCCCCAGGCCCTCCAAGCCTGCCCACCCAGGTCTCCTTGGGCAGGGTCTGTGCCCCTACTAGCATCAGAGCCCCATTTCCACCCACAGCCCAGGGTGATTTAGGATTCTCCTTGCTCCTACAGAGAAACTTCCAGAACTCCCTGAGGCCCCATATATATTTTCAGATCCCTATGCATTCTTTGTGCTTGCCGTAGGGTCCCCTAGGTCTTCATGTGGACCCCATACTCTCCTATTGTAGCACATACACATATCTGTGCTCAGCCCATGGGTAATGCACAAGCCCTATTAGATTTCTGAATAATCCACAGACTCGTCTATGTCAGGTAGCCAAAAGTGTTAGGCATCCATTTAATCCCCAAGTTACCTGTACAGTGTAACCATGAACCTTCAGGCTCTCCTGTGAGATTCCCAAGTCCACTATCTGACCATCTTCATTCTACGAATCTTTACTGAGTGCCAAATCTAAGCCAAGCACTGTTCCAACTAGTAAGGATATGGTAGGGAATAAAATTGACAAAAATCCCTGCCATATGGAGCTTCTATGCTAGTGGATGAGGCAGATGATGGACAAGGTAAACAAGCAAAATATATGGTATGTTAGATAGTCACGATATGTGCTAAAGAGGTGACAGAACCAAGGAAGGGGGTTAGGAAGTGTTTGTTGAGTGGGGTACAACTTTAGATAAGGTGGCCAGGAAATAAAATGAGGATCTGAGCCATGTGAATAAAGGGCAAGGGGCATTCCAGGCAGAGGAAACAGCAAGTGCAAAGGGCCTGCAGCAAGCGTGTGCCTGTTGTGTTGTAGGAACATTGAAGGGGCCAGTGTGGCTGGAGAGGAGTGAGCAAGGGAGAGTGACAGGAAATAAGATGAAGAAGCAGATCATATAAGCCTTAGCAGCAGGGTGACCATATGTCCCGGTTTACACCTACTATTCTGTAATTATTGATAAGGCCCCTTTCACTCTCAAGTGTCTTGCTACAGATGGAAAATTATATGATCACTCTCCTTAGAGGTCATTACAAAGCCTATGGCTTTTACAGAGCATGTGGGAGTTTTCATCTAGGCCACCAACATATTCATATATTCACATATAGGGGGGTCTTCAGAAACTTCATGGAAAGATTTGTATTATCTATTTTTCTATGAATTTTTTGAAGTACCTTCATATATTATAAACAATTACGTGTTATATGTACATCTATATTACATTATGATATTATATTATATATTACATGTCTATATATGTATCATAGACAGACTTGTACACAGATGTCCACATCCTAATTCCCAGAACCTGTGAATATGTGACCTTACATGGCAAATGGACTTTGCAGATGTGATGGAGTAAAAGATCTTGAAGGGCTGGCCCGTGGCTTACTCGGGAGAGGGTGGTGCTGATAACACCAAGGCCATGGGTTTGGATCCTATATAGGGATGGCCGGTTCTGCTCACTGGGTGAGCGTGGTGCTGACAACACCAAGTCAAGGGTTAAGATCCCTTTACCGGTCATCTTTAAAAAAAAAAAAAAAAAAGTAAAGGATCTTGAGATGGGGCGATTATTCTGGTTTGGGTGAGCTCAAAATAATCACAAGGGTCCTTTTAAGAGGGTTGTAGGAGGGTCAGAGTCAGAAAAAGAGATGAGGAGTTGGTTAGAGCACAGTCTTATAACACCAAGGTCATGGGTTTGGATCCTTGAACAGCCAGCTACCAAAAAGAAAAGAAAAAGAGATGAGAAGACAGAAGCAGAGGTTGGAGTGATGCAGCTACAAGCCAAGAAACGAGGACGGTCTCTAGAAGCTGGAAAAAGAAAGGAAAACAGATTCTTCCCTAGGGCCTCCAGAAGGAACACAGCCCTGCTGACATCTTGATTTTAGCCCAGTGAAATCATTTTGGACCCCCACCCTCCCAAATTGCAAGATAATAAATGTGTGTTGTTTAAACTCACCAAGTTTTTGGTAACTTGTTGACAGCAATAGGAAACTGGGCTGGCCTGTTACACACACACACACACACACACACACACGGCTGTTACACACACACACACACACACACACACGGCTGTTACACACACACACACACACACACATGGCTGTTACACACACACACACACACACACACACACACACACACGGCCTCTCTGCTTGGTCTTCCCATCTCTGCCCAAAATATTCCTCTGCACAACCCAGGCCCAGCAGGTGCTCATACATTTGTGACTGTGGCCCCACCTGAAGTTGAGCACAACGTTTTCCTGGAAGGGGATGTCTCCTATCAAGAACCAAGACTATGGTTTCTTTAAGCCCAGACCAACACTAACACCACCACAGACAAGGCCTGCCCCAGCACATTCCCAGACCTAAGCCCCAAATCTGGTGCACTGAAGCCTTGAGCCTCCCCAACACCCTCGCTGCTTTGGCACTCTGAGTCCTGACTCAAGCTCTGGGGCATTTTGCTTCCCGGCTCCAGACCTCCAGAATCCCCTCCTCTTCACCTGACACAGGGAAGAGTCCAAGAGGGAGAACGGAGGCCGAGAGAGGGGTGGGGATGGGTCTCAGGTTGCATAGGCCAGCTGTTAGCGGTGAGACCTCAGGGCTCTAGTAGAAGATGGCATGTGGGCCCAGGGGGAGTGTAAAATCAGATTTGGGGGGTGAAGCCGGAACCCGCCTAACGGTGACGAACTAACTCCACCGCCAACAACAAATCGGGCGGGGCCTGGGAAGAGCGCGGGACCTAACGCGGAGAGGCTAGAGCGCCAGCCCGGGGGCGGGACTTAGGAAAGAGGAGTAATTGGGAGAGGCCGAAAGGCCTAGAACAGGAGGACACGCGTGTGGGCGGAGTCCAGCCATGGTGGAGCCGGACTTGGGAGGGGCGGGGCCTACACGAAAGCAGGGGTGGAGCTTCCAAATAAGAGGCGGGGCTCTCCAAGGCACGGACACTGGGTTGGAGGGGCGGGGCCTAGACCCGGAGGGCGGGGCTTGAGTAAGGGCGGAGCCTAGTACGGAGGCGGGGCCTGGATGGGAGGGGCGGGGCCGGATGCAGTATAGGGTCAGGTGGGAAGGGCTTAAGAGCTGGGCAAGCCGCCTCAGCCCTATCTACCGCCTGAAATTGGATGGGTGGTACGACAACTTCCGGGTGAGACTGCGCATTTCCGGTCAAGATGGCGACGCCCAGAGTAATCAGGTGCGGGAGACTCTATCTTTAGAAGAAACGGAGCCTCGAAACTCGGGGAGGTGAGATCCGCCCAGCTCCGGCGTCCCTCTCAGAAGAGGAGGGAGGAGACTTGTTGCTAAGGAGACCAAGGGCAGGGCTTGTTGTTGTGGAGGAGGGGTAGGGGGTTGCTAAGAAACGGGAACGCAAGTAGTGGAGATGGGGTGGAGGTTTGTTGCCAGGAAGAGTGGGTGGGGCCTGTTGCTAGGGAGGAAGGAGGGGCTTATGGCTTTGGGAAATGGTCCTGTTGGTATGAGGGAAGGAAAGGGGACTGTGGTTAAGGGGGTTGTGAGCAGAGTTGTTTGGGGTCATGCGGTGACGCCGAGATCCCCTAAAACGCCACCTTCTCGGCAGACCCCCAGGAGTCGACCCATCGGGACGCCAGAGCTGCCTCAGCGGTGACCACCTTCTCCCCCGCAACACATTTTTCCCTTCTTCATAAACGGCCCATGGCAAACGAAGGCTCAGGGGGCAGCCGCCTGCCCCTGGCGCTGCCCCCGGCTCCCCAGGGTGGCTCGTCAGGAGGTGGTGGCTCCTCGGCGGGGGGCTCGGGAAATCCCCGACCTCCACACAACCTCCAAGGCCTGCTGCAGATGGCCATCACTGCGGGCTCTGAGGAACCAGAACCCCCTCCAGAACCCATGAGTGAGGAGGTAAAGGATGGGGATCCAAGAGGCTGGGGTGAGGGGGCTGGGGACAAAGGTGTCTTGGGAAGTGTGACTTGGAAAACCAGAAGCTGTGGTCTTCCTGGGTGGGGGGGCAGGTGTCCAGGTGTAGAGGCATGGTAGGCTACATTCGTGCTAGATGGGGCCATTGTAGACTGAAGATCAGAACTCAAAAGTGTCTGAGGGGACAGATCCCTGGATTCCAGCACTGTTCTAGGAGGCAGAATAAGCCTCGTGGTGTTTTTTTGGAAATAAAAAAAAAAAAAGCAAGGGCTTTTTAGAGCCAGACAGACCTGGATTCATCATTGTCCAGCTCTGTGACCTTGGGTATGTCACTTAATCTCTCTGAGCTCAAGTTCTTCATTTGCAAATTGATGATGATGGTAAGAATGATAACAGTACTTCATAGGGTAATTCTTTTTTTTTTTTTAGCTCAAGTTCTTCATTTGCAAATTGATGATGATGGTAAGAATGATAACAGTACTTCATAGGGTAATTCTTTTTTTTTTTTTAGCTCAAGTTCTTCATTTGCAAATTGATGATGATGGTAAGAATGATAACAGTACTTCATAGGGTAATTCTTTTTTTTTTTTTAAAAGATGACCGGGAAGGGGATCTTAACCCTTGACTTGGTGTAAGCACCACGCTCTCCAAGTGAGCTAACTGGCCATCCATATATAGGGATCCGAACCCGTGGCCTTGGTGTTATCAGCACCACACTCTCCAAAGTGAGCCACGGGCCAGCCCTGGGGTAATTCTGAGGTTCCGCTTTAAATAGGGCTGCACACAGTGCCCCACATATAGGCAGCGTGTTTGAAGGCGGTTGTGAAGAGCACAGGCTCTGTAGACAAGACTGCTTAGGTTTGACTTCAGGCTTGGCCAATTGCTGACTGTGTGATGTTGGGCAAGTCACAACCTTTTTGTGCCTCAATTTTATCATCTGTGAAATGGGAATAACAATAATACTTACCTCACAGAGTTGTTTTGAAGGTTGATAGCAGTATTATTGTATAAATATTTAATTGGCAATTACAATAAATGAAACATTGTGCTAATCCATTTATATACACGATGCCATTGTATCTTTATGAGAATGAGGTAGGAGAAAGTAGATACAGAAAGATTAAAGAGCTTGCCCACATAGTGTGGTGCTGACAACACCAAGATCAAGGGTTTGGATCCCCATTACCTGTCAGCCGCCAAAAAAAAAAACGCTTGCCCAAATTTATCCAGGGCTGTGATTATAGAGCCCTCTTATGAGTACTTAACACAGGTCCTGGCCAAGTAAAAAAAAATTTTGTGGTCAGTTCTCAGCTCTCATCTCATCTGGCCTAATAGCAGCATTTGCTTACTCCCTCTTCCTTGAATCTCTTTCTTCATTTGGTTTCTAGGACAACATAGTCTCCTGGTTTTCATCCTTATCCGAAGGCTTTCCTCTGTGTCCTTGGTTGGTTCTTCCAACCTCTTAATGATGAAGTGCAATAGGATTCAGTTTTTGGATCTCTTATCTACACTCACTCTTTGTGATCTCATGTTGTGTTGAGGCTTTACCCTTAGAAGTGTGATTTTATCCCCCAGGGGACATTTGGCAGTGTACGGAGACATACTTGATTGTCACAACTGAGGGGAGGATGCTACTGGCATAAGGCTAGGATTGTTCAACATCCTGTACTGTACAGTTCAGCCCCCACAACAAAGAACTGTCCAGCTTAAAGTGTCAGTATAGCCAAGGTTGAGAAATCCTGGTCTAGGCTGGACCTCTTCCTTGAACTTCAGGCATCCTGCTAAATATTTTACCCTGGCTATATAATAGAGCACTCAAACTTAAGATGTTCAAAAAGGAGCTCTAATCTCAACTCCTTCCACTTCAAGCCTGCTTTTCCCATCATCTTCCCCATTTTCTGGTTGCAAGGACAAAAACCTTAGAGTCAACCTAGATTTCTCTCTTTCACAACCCATATCTCAGTAAATTGTACTGGCTTTCTTTTCAAAATAAGTCCAGGATCTGACCATTTCTCACTGTTCCATCACTCCCACCCTGCTCCACACCACCTTCTCTCTCTTTCTTTTGGCAGCTGGCGGTACAGAGAACCCACCACCTTCTCTCTTACCTGGATCACTGCCTTAGCCTCGTAACAAGTCTTCCTTTGTCTGCCTTTACCTCCCCTCAGTCTATACTCAATAAGTCTGTCTCACCACTCCTCTGCTCAGAGTCCTCGGGTGGCTCCCTCACCTCATTCAAAGTGAGATCCTAGGTCTTTACAACATTCTGCAACACCAGGCATGATCTGTTCCCTACTATCTTTCTCTCCCCTCACCTTCTGTCTGTTCCCCCCTCGCTCACTCTGCTTCAGCCACATTGGCCTCCTGGGCTATTCCGTTCCCCTGGAATGTTCTCCTAGGTGTCTGCTTGGCTCACTCTCTTGCCTACTTCTTTACTAACATGTTTCCCCCTTGAGACCTTTGCTGACCACCCTGTTTAATTCCACAGCCTCACCTTGGCACTCCTAATTCCCCACTCTGCTTAACTTTCTTCATGGCACTTGTCATATCACCACATTGCATACTACATGTTTTGTGTATTTTCTTTATCATCTACTCCCCCACCAGAATGTGAGCCTCCTTACCCCAGGGCAGGGTTTTTTTCTGGCTGTCTGAGGGCTGCATTCCTAGTATCTGGAAAAGATTCTTTGAATGAGAAAGATGCTCAATAGATATTTGTTGATTGAAGGAAGTCAGCCGTCAGATGTTGGCTGTAGTTATTGATAGCTGTTACTCCTTAATTAATTACTGATAGAGGTCTTCTTCCTCCCGCCCCCGCCATCATCCCCCAGAGGCGTCAGTGGCTGCAGGAAGCCATGTCAGCCGCCTTCCGGGGCCAGCGGGAAGAGGTGGAGCAGATGAAGAGCTGCCTCCGAGTGCTGTCCCAACCCATGCCTCCTGCAGCAGGCGAGGCTGAACTGGCCGCTGACCAGCAGGAGCGTGAGGGGGCCCTGGAGCTGCTAGCCGACCTGTGTGAGAACATGGACAATGCTGCAGGTATGCCCCTCCACATATCCCCTACTATGTTGGGTGTCCTGCCCCTTCTGGCTATATCCCATTGCAGTTCAGCTCTTATCCCTTTTCTCAGGAAGCCCATCATCAGCCCTCCCTGGCCTCTCAGCCTCCTCCAGCCTCTCCCTTTCCATTGCCAGGAGGAGCAAGGCCTTTCTCTCACTCCAGGCAGCCTGGTGGCAGGTTTGGTCCACCACTTCCCTGATAGGTCCCGAGACTGGTCATTTCTCTCCTAGTCTGCTGGGCATCCACTGCCACTCCCTAGAGTATGAGAAGGGGATGTAGTTTTGGGCAGGGCGGTCAGGGTGTTCAGGGAAGGTATCCCCGAAGGGCAATGTTTGATCAGAGATGTGAAGTGAGGGCATGAGTTGTGGGATGATCTCTGGAAAAAGCATTTCCAGGCAGTGGGAATAGCAAATGCAAAGGCCCTGAGGTGGGAATGTGCCTGGTATGTTCATGAACTGCAGCAAGGCCCTGACAGCAGAATGGAATAAGTGAAGGGCCTGGGGTAGGAAATAATATTGGGGTGGACAAGGCCTCCCAGACCATGGGTTTTATTCTAAATGCAGCAGAGCCAATAGAAGGTTTGAGCAGGTGAGCACAAAGTGAGACTCCACTTTCATTTGCAGGGGTGGAGTGGTGTGGTCATTGAGGGTGTGGATTTAGTTCACAGTCCAGGCTGTGCTGCCATGTGGTGGTGTGAGCTTGGCAGGTCCCTGACGCCCTTTGAGCCCCTGGTTACCTCCTGTGTCCAGGGGCTGGTGAGGTTGGAACGACAAAACACATGGGATGTGATCCACACAAGTCCAGGTGCAGTAAACACACAGTGCGTGGGAGACAGGGAGGATGATGTTTGAGAAGCCCTCCTTTGTTCCAGGAGAGTCATGATGTATGTGAGCACATTCAGTGCTCTGAGAAGACCCACAGTGAAGACAACCCTGCAGCTTTCTTTTACCCAGTGTTTCCTAGACTTACCCGGGCAGGGAACCCTCCCCACTTCAATCCATAGGATGGCTTATAACGACTTAGCTGTTTCATTCATTTTTCGCTTATTCAGGAAATATCTGCTAAGCAGCTGCTATGTTCTAAGCACTGTGCTGAGTCTCCAATTACAGCAGCAGCGATTTTTACACCCTATTAGTAACCAAATGAGAATGAAAGTCAAAGATTTCCTCCCTGGCCTGTCTTCTCTCTCCCCCTCTCTCTTTCCACTCACACACATACACACATAAATGTATATATGAGGGATCTTCAAAAAGTTCATGGAAAGATTTGTATTATCTTATTTATTTATTTGTTTTTGGTGGCTGGCTGGTATGGGGAACTGAACCCTTAGACCTTGGTGTTACGAGGCTGCGCTGTAACCAAGTGAGCTAACCAGCCAGCCCCCTTGATCGTATTATCTTTTAATTCTATTTTCCACTAACTTTTTGAAGTACTCTGTGTGTGTGGGGGTGTGTGTGTAATTTCTTAATAGAGATGCACAATGCTGATGAAGATGGGCTGAGGAGAACATTCTTTCACATGGCTGTTTACCCCACTCATTATAATTATTATTATTTATTAAGGTAAAATTCACGTAACATAAAATTAACCATTTTAAAGTCTACAATATCAATTTCATGGCATTTAGTACATTCACAGTGTTGTGCAACCATCACCTCTATTTCCAGAACTTTTTCACCACTCGCAAAAGAGACTCCGTATCCATTAAGCAGTCCCTCCCCATTCCCCCTACCCCTATCCCCTGGCAACCACTATTAGCTTTTTGTCTCTGTATTTGCCTGTTGTGGACATTTCATATAAATGGAATTCTATAACATTGCCTTTTCTGACTGGCTTTTCACTGAGCATGTTTTCAAGGTTCATTCATGTTGTAGCATGTGTCAGAACTTCATTCCTTTTTGTGGCTAATACTTCATTGTATGGATAGACCTGGTTTTATTTATCCCTTCACCTGTTGAAGGACATTTGGGTCATTTCCCCACTTTGGTTTCTGTGAATGGTGCTTCTGTAAACATGGGTGTGCAAGTGTCTGAGTCCCTGCTTTCAACCCTTTTGGGTCTATACCTAGGAATGGATTTGCTGGGTCATGGGAACTCTGTGTTTAACTTGTCATATCACCTTCAGGCTCTACAGTACCACTTCATTTACAAAAACAGGTGGTGACCCATGGTGTGCTGACCCCTGGTCTAGTGCATGTTTCTCCTGCAGGGGACATTCTGATTGTCACAAAGACTCGAGGTCATTATGGGCGTTTAGTGGGCTGAGCAGGGACCCTAATGCCCCAAATGCTGATGGTGTTGAGACACACCAGCCTTGGAGGGACTCCTGGTTGAGTGCTTGGAGAGAGCCAGGACTTGGACACAGGCCCTGGTGGGAGCTTGCTTCCCTCTCCCATCCTCCCCTGATGTATTAGTTTGTTCCAGCTGCCATAACCAAGTACCACAACCTGGCAGCTTAAACAAGATAAGTTTATCTTTTCACAGTTCTAGAGGCTGGAAGTCTGAGAACAAGGTGTTGGCTGGGTTAGTTCTTCTTAGGCCTCTCTCCTTGGCTTGTAGATGGCTTCTACCAGTGTCCTCACATGGTCATCCTTTGGTGCATGTCTGTGCCCTAATCTCCTCTTCTTATAAGGACGCCAGTCATATTGGATTAGGGCCCACCCTAATAACCTCATTTTACCTTAATTACCTCTTTAAAGGCCCTATCTCCAAATACAGCTACATTCCAAAGTACTGGAGTTCAGGGCTTCAACATACGGATTTTGGGAGGAAACAGTTCAGCCCATAACACCCAAACTTTCTCTCCTTTCTCTGCCGCACAGACTTCTGCCAGCTGTCGGGCATGCACCTGCTGGTGGGCCGGTACCTGGAGGCAGGGGCTGCGGGGCTACGGTGGCGGTCAGCACAGCTCATTGGCACATGCAGTCAGAATGTGGCAGCCATCCAGGAGCAGGTGCTGGGTCTTGGCGCCCTTCGCAAGCTGCTGCGGCTGCTTGACCGGGACTCCTGTGACACGGTGCGCGTCAAGGCCCTCTTTGCCATCTCCTGTGAGTGTACTGGGGTGGGGAAGCAGAGGCAGGGATGCTCAGGGTTGGGGCTGGGGCCAAAGCTGCCCACAGAGGTGGGTCCTGCTTGGATCTGCTGGGGGCAGAGGGAGAGGTGCCTCCTTTATGCATTTATTCACCATACTTGTTGGGACTCTGCTCTGGGTGCTGGGAACAAAGCAGCAAAGCTCCCCAAACCCCTGCTAGCCGGAGAGATGGGTACTAACAACATAGTAAGATGGTGGTAGACAATGATCCTGTGGCCCAGCTTGGGCACTTCGTACACATCACAGTTTCTCAGCCTCATCACTGTTGACATCTGGGGCCAGTTTATTCTCTCTTGAGGGCTGTCTTGTGCACTGCAGGTTGTAGGGTATTGAGCAGCATCTCTGGCCTGTATCCACCAGAGATGCAGAAGCACCCCCTGGTTATGACAACCAAAAATGCCTGCAGACATTGCAGAGTCTCCTGGTTGAGAACCACTGCTCTACACAAATTCTTTTTATCCCAACGGTCCTGTGAAGTTGGGTTTGTTCTCATCCTCCTTTGACAGAGGAGGAAACTGAGGCGTGGGCAGAGAGATTTGGTCAGGTTGTACAGCTCCAAGGGGCAGCTGGCTCCTACTCCCACCCTCACTCTTCAGTAAGGACACATGGAGCTGGTGTCTGAGCCCAGGTGGAATTCTTCATGTATCAGATGCCTTGTGTGTGGGGGCTGTGCAAGGGCCCCATTTGACTCTTTGACTGTTTCTTTTTTCTTTTTTTGGTGGCTGGCCAGTGCAGGGATCTGAACCCTTGGCCTTGATGTTGTTAACACTGTGCTCACACCAACTGAGCTAACCAGCCAGCTCTTCTTTTTTCTTTTTTAATAGCTTTATTGAGATACAATTCACAGGCCATACAATTCATTCTTTTAAATAAAAAGTACAACTTAGTACTTTTTATTATATTAACAAAGTTGTGCAACCATCACCACTATCTAATTCCAGAACATTTTCAGCTGCACCCCAAACAGAAATCCTATACCCACTGAGCACTCACTCCCCATCCCTCTCTACCCCCAGCACCTACAACCACTAATCTATTTTATTTTCTCTAAGGATTTACCTGCCCTATATATTTCATATACGTGGAATCATATGGTCTGTGGCCTTTTGTGTCCAGCTTAGCATAGAGTTCATCCATGTTGTAGCATGTGTTCTTTTTATGGCTGAATAATACTCCATTGTATGACACACCATGTTTTCTTTTTTTTTTTTTTTTTTTTAAAGATGATCGGTAAGGGGATCTTAACCCTTGACTTGGTGTTGTCAGCACCACACTCTCCCAAGTGAGCCATGGGCCGGCCCCAACACCATGTTTTCTTTAACTGGGTTGTTTCTATCTCTTGAGTATTTTTTTTTTTAAATAAAGATGACCGGTAAGGGGATCTTAACCCTTGGCTTGGTGTTGTCAGCACCACGCTCAACCATTGAGCTAACCGGCCATCCCTATGTAGGATCCGAACCCATGGCCTTGGTGTTATCAGCACTGCACTCTCCCGAGTGAGCCACGGGCCGGCCCTTCCATCTCTTGAGCATTGTGCTGCTATGAACATGAGTGAACAAGTCTTTGTGTGGATGTATGTTTTCATTTCTCTTGGAGATACCTAGGAGTGGAATTGCTGGGTCATATGGTAACTATGTTTATCTGTTTGCAGTTGACTGTTTCTTAACCCCAGAAGCCTACCCGGTCATTGGAATGGAGGGTAGGAGAGGGATCTCAACACCCCCTCTTCCTCTCTTAACCCATCCCTGTACATCCTGAGCCCTTGTCTTCTACTGGCATGTTCTTATCAGATGAGAAGATGGCAGCCCTAGGGGTGCAGAGGCCTGGGAGGAGAACAGGGAGGGTTTCGATACAAGATTCCCAGAGGGAGGAAGCATCTTGAGACATGAGGGAAAGAGTCTTGGAGGAGGTGGCACTTGGAAAGACACAGCCAAAACTAGGGAGACAGATAGACAGACAAACCCGAGGCAGCTCAGCCGCAAAGCAAAAGGAAGAGAGATAGACTTGGTTCCCCTGAGGTATGGAGAAACAGGGCATGGTGGGGACGGGCCAGGCAAAGTTTTCTTCTAACAGCTTACATTAAAAAAAAAGTTATCAGATATTTAAAAAATCTGTAAGACAGTCACAACATTCATAATTCAACAGGTACAAAAGAATATACAGTGAAAAGACTCTGTCCTGGAACCACCTGATAATCTTCCCAGAGAAAACCACCATTACGTGAATTTCTGTTTTCAGAGATTTTTTTGTTTGTTTGTTTTGGCAGTTGACTGGTATGGGTATGGAACCCTGGACCCTGGTGTTATTAGCACCATGCTCTAACCAACTGAGCTAACTGGCCAGCCCTGCTTCCAGAGATTTTAATAAATCTGCGAGCACAAATGTGTGTGGTGTGTGTGTGTGTGTTGGGGGTATGTGTATGTGTTTGTGGTATGTGTATATGTGGTGTCGGGTATGTATGTGTGTGGGGTGTGTATGTGTGTGTTAGGTGTGTCTTTTGTGCATGGGTGTGGGGTATGTGTGTGTGTGTGTGTCTGGTTTGTGTGTGTGTGGGTGTCTGTGTCTCGTGGTATGCATGTGGTGTGTGATGAGGGTGTGTGGTGTGTGTGTCAAGTGTATGTGTGTATACACAGACACATCTCTTTTCCTATTGTACATTTGTACATAACTGGTATCAGACCATTCTGACTGTTCTGCACTTTGAGCTGCCTCTGTCTTTTTTGTTTTTTGTTTTTGGCAGCTGGCTGGGAGGGGAATTCGAACCCTTGACATTGGTGTTATCTTTTTTTTTTAAACTGAGAATAACTTATCATCTTTCACTGTTTCCGTGGGTCAGGAATTCAGAAGTTGCCCACCTCAGTATTTTCTGCTTTGTGTCTTTCATGGGGTTGTAGTCAAACTTCAGGGGCGTGGTCACCTGAAGGTTTGACCTCGATGAGTCTGTGCAGGAAGTGCCTCATTTAATACTCGCTAGCCCCATGTTAGATAGGGGTGCTACAGGTCTGCTTCCAAGGTGGCTCCCTCCCATGGCTGGCAAGTCTTTGCTGGCTATTGGCAAGAAGCCTCAGGCTGCTTGAGTGTCCTCACAGCATGGTGGCTGTCTTCCCCAGAGAAAGCTATCTACGATGCAGGCACGAACTATGGGAGCTGCAATGCCTTTTTTTCTTTTGGAGGTAAAATTCACATAACATTTTAAAGTGTACAATTCAGTGGCATCTGCCTTTTTTTTTTTTTTTTGGTGGCTACAGGGCTCGCCATTTTGTAGCTGGCTGTCCAGCTACCATTTGGTAAGCTCCATGCTAGGAGCCATATGTAGGGCACAGTCTCCTCAGCTCCTCCTGCTGCCTGAGATGGTGACGTTACTGCTCTCCCTGCCCTTCCCGTGAGGGCATGGACTTGCTTGCCCTCCATCATGCTGCTTGTAAGTGGCTCTTTGTTTCCACAGAGAAAGGGTTTCAGAAAGACTCAGACAGAGGAGGGTCAGATAGAGGCTTACATGAGAGGGCTTTGTGGTGGGGGAGAGGGTCAAGGGGGCACCCAGGGGAGGCACACATGCATCTCCATGTGCTTAAACCTTTTTTTTATAAAGATGACTGGTAAGGGGATGTTAACCCTTGGCTTGGTGTTGTCAGCACCACGCTCAACTAGTGAGTTAACCGGCCATCCCTATATAGGATCCAAAGCTGGGGCCTTGGTATTGTCAGCACCACACTCTCCCAAGTGAGCCACGGGGTGACCCTCCTTTTTTTTTCAAAGTTTTTTTTTTTTTTTTTTTAGAACAGTTTTAGGTTCACAGCACAATTGAACAGAAGGTACAGAGATTTCCCATGTGGCCCCTACCCAACACATGCACAGCCTCCTCCATTGCTAACATCCCGTGCCAGAGTGGTACCTTTGTTACAACCGATGAGTCTAGTGTTACATCATTATCACCAGAGTCCATAGTGTACATTAGAGTTCACTCTTGGTGTTGTACACTCTATAGGTTTGGACAAATGTACGATGACATGTATTTATCATTACAGTATTATACATAGTTTTGCTTCCCTAAAAATCCCTTGCTCCATCTGTTCATCCCATCCCTCATCTTTTTACTGTCTCCACAGTTTTGCCTTTTCCAGAACATCATGTAGTTAGAATCAGACAGTACGTAGCCTTTTCAGATTGGCTTCTTTCACTTGGCAATGTGCATTTAAGGTTCCTCCATGTCTTTTTTTTTTTTTTTTTTGTCCTTTTTTTGAGACTGGCCGCACCGCGCTCAGCCAGTGAGTGCTGTGAGCGAACCAGTCATCCCTATATAGGATCTGAACCCGCGGCGGGAGCGCTGCAGCACTCTCCTGCGTGCGCCACGGGCTCGGCCCCCTCCATGTCTTTTCATGGCTTGATAGCTTATATCTTTTTAGCACTAAGTGGAACTTTTTTTTTTTTTTTTTTAAAGATGACTGGTAAGGGGATCTTAACCCTTGACTTGGTGTTGTCAGCACCACGCTCTCCAAAGTGAGTGAACCGGCCATCCCTATACGGGATCTGAACCTGTGGCCTTGGTTTTATCAACACCACACTGTCCTGAGTGAGCCAGGGGCCGGCCCAAAGTGTAACTTTTTTAAGGGAGATGTGTGGGCCATGGTAATGACATTAGCTTTCACTTCAAAAGTGATGGCAGCCATACTACAGTTCCTCCTACTCCCTGCTGCGTTGAGAAGAGGATAGACGCAGCAAGGATGGAAGGTGGAAGGTGAGTTGGGAGGTTATAGTAATGACCTAGGCAAGAGATAAAGGTTGAGGGGGGAGTAAAGCAGTGGTTGTAAAACAGGGATGATTGTGTCCTCCAGGGGACACTTGGTCAATTTCTGGAGACATTTCCTATTGTCACCATTTGAGGGGCAGGGGTTACTGGCATCTAGTGGGTAGAGGCCAGGGATGCTGCTGAACATCTTGCAGTGCACAAATGCACAAGACAGCTCCCACAACACAGAATGATCTGGCCCACATGTGAACTATGTCCAGTTGGAGAAACCTTAGAGTAAAGAAGTAGTTACTCTTGCTACATTTTGAAGGGAGAGCCAACAGGCTGTGCTTGCCAGTTGAATGTGGGGGGGTCTTCATGTTTGTCACTCCCCACAGGCCTGTTCTTTATTTTTAATTAAGCAACCTTTTATTTAACCCAATGTATCCAAACTATTAAATTTTAACACATAGTTAATATGGAATATCAATGAGATACTTTACATCTTTTTGTCATGCTGTCTTTAAAACCTGGTGTGCATCTTACACTCAATGCAGATGGTGAATTTTCAGCGGCTGGCATGAAGTATAGTTGTACTAAAGCAATAAAGTTGTGTTTAGTGGAAAAATATTTTACAGGTTTTTTCTTTAATTGTAAATGAATTGAAGTTAAATGAAATGAACAACTCAGTTACTCTGTTGCGCCTGCCACATCTCAGGTACTTAGTGGCCACAAGCTACTAGTGATGTCCATTCGTTCTGGGCAGTGCAGGCCTAGAGCTTGCCCAAGAATTGGCACCTCATCGGAGGTGCACCCCACAGCCTGGCTCTTGTCCTGCTTGGAGGCCTTCCAGAGTTCTCATTGCCCTCAAGGTAAAGGTCATACATGCTCCATAGACTGGCTTTCTGGGTTTCACTTTCCTTATCTGTAAAATGGGATTCCAGGGGCACCCACCTCTAGGATAGTTGTGTGGATCAAAAAGAGATAATGCTTCCATCAATGGATGAATGGATAAACAAAATGTGGTCTATCCATACAATGGAATATCATTCAGCCATGAAAACAAATGAAGTACTGATACGGTTTACAAAGTGGAAAAAAAAAAAAAGCAAAAGAAGAAAACAAAACAAAACAATTTGTAGCTGGAATGGACCTAGAAAACATTATGCTGAGTGGAAGAAGCCAGACACAAAGGCCATATATTATGTGAATCTGTTTATGTGAAATGTTCAGGATAGGCAAATCCGTAAAGACAGATAGTGGATCTGTGGTTGTGGGAACTGGGGGAAGGGGAAACTTTGGAAGTACTCCTAATAGGTATGAGGGTTTTTTGGGGAGTGATTAAAATGTTCAGGATTAAGATAGTGGTGATGGCTGCAAAACTTTGTGAATATACTAAAACCCACTGAGTTGTATACTTTATTTTTTATTTTTTTTTTAAAGATGACCGGTAAGGGGATCTTAACCCTTGGCTTAGTGTTGTCAGCACCACGCTCAGCCAGTGAGCTAACTGGCCATTCCTGTATAGGATCTGAACCCGTGGCCTTGGTGTTATCAGCACTGCACTCTCCCGAGTGAGCCATAGGCCGGCCCCTGAGTTGTATACTTTAAGGTGGTGAACTGTATGGACTATTTTTTTTTTTTTTTGTGGCTGGCTTGTACAGGGATCTGAACCCTTGACCTTGGTGTTATCAACATCATGGATTATGAATTATATCTCAATAAAAATACTTTTAAAAAAAGATTAAAAAACAAAGAGTAGGCCCATAGAAAATGATGATAATGATGGTGGTGACGGTGATAATGATGCTGGTGATGAATGGTGATGGTCATGGTGATGGTGGTGATGATGTTGGTGGTGGTGGTAATGATGGTGGTGATGAAGATGATGGTGATGGTGATGGTGGTGGTGATGATGACTGTGACCTCAAGGCCCTGCTCCTTCCTTCTCAGGCCTGGTCCGGGAGCAGGAGGCTGGGCTGCTGCAGTTCCTCCGCCTGGACGGCTTCTCAGTGTTGATGCGGGCCATGCAGCAGCAGGTGCAGAAGCTTAAGGTCAAGTCAGCATTTCTGTTGCAGAACCTGCTGGTGGGCCACCCTGAACACAAAGGTGGGATGGCCCCTGAGGGAGGTCAGGGTGGAGGGAGGGGGAGCAGATGACCTGGGGAGGGTATGGGCATAGGGGAGGGATCCGAACCCTCGGACGGGAGCGCCGCCGCGCTTCCCAAGCGGCGCACTATCCAGTGCGCCACCGGGCCGGCCCTCAGTAAAAATACTTTTAAAAAAAGATTAAAAAAAAAAGAGTAGGCCCATAGAAAATGATGATAATGATGGTGGTGATTTTTTTTTTTTTTTTTTTAAAAAAAAGATGACTGGTAAGGGGATCTTAACCCTTGACTTGGTATTATCAGCACCACGCTCTCCCAAGTGAGTCACAGGCCAGCCCTTTTCATTCTCTCTTTTTATCTGTGTGTTTTTCTGCTGTCCATTCAGCAGACATTTTTTGCGTGACTCCCATTTGCCCAGTGCTGTGTCAGTACAGGGGAGGCAGCAGGGAGATAGAGGAGCTCAGAGATTCTTGAGGGGATGATAAAGTTGTTGAATTATTATCTAAGTTATCTAATATGATTATTTATATCATATCACTGAAATATCTTAATAAGCTATTTCATTAAATTGATAAGAAATAAGTAAATGATAACCAATTGTTTAATTGATTAGATAAAAAGTAACTAATTGGGGCCAGCCCGGTGGCGCACTCGGTAGAGTGCGGCACTTGGGAGCGTGGCGGCGCTCCCGCTGAGGGTTGCACCCGGTCTGCTCACTGGTCCGCTGACTGGTTGAGTGCGGTGCGGGCGCGACACTGAGGGTTGCGATCCCGTTACCAGTCATGAAAAGACAAAAAGGAAAAAAAAAAAGTAACTAATTGATAAATAGCTCACTAGATATTTAATTAAATAGATAAGTAACAAATAAGTGATAAACAACTCAGATAAATAGATATTAAGTAACATATGAGAAATCAGAACTAATTATTCAAATCGTTATTTAATAATTTAAATGATTAATTAATTTAGTTAACCAATTGTTAAGTAATTTATTCATTCAATGAAGTACCTACCACTAAAATGTTGGTACTTCAGCAAAGCTGAGTCCAGCAAATGTGCCAACATACCCAGAGCATCCATTCTGTTGGGCCCACTCTTCTGTGGACACTGTCAAGTGTTTACAGAGAGGCGCTGGGCATAGAGGTGACCAGAAGAGACAGGATGCCCATCCACAGGTGTTCACCCGGACTTTATCATAGGACCCGCAGGCTATGAGACAGGGGAAGCCTGGGACTAGCCTGGCCTGGGGTTTGGGTTGGGGAGTGTGTTTGTCCCCCAGGCATCCCCTGAGCCTCTGGTGTGCCAGACAGTTGGCCGGGTGAAGCTGGGGTCTACCTGTGAGGCCCACCTTGTCCCCACCCTGGAGGTGCCCATGGGCTAATGGGGGCAGCTTCATGTAAACTGACCAACATTCCTTTTTTTCTTTCTTTCTTTCTCTTTTTTTTAAAAGATGACCGGTAAGGAGATCTTAACCCTTGATTTGGTGTCAGCACCACGCTCTCCCAAGTGAGCCACGGGCTGGCACTTTTTTCTTTCTTTTTAAACAATTATTTTAACAGCTTTAGTAAAGTATAATTGACATGTAATAAACTGCACATATTGAAAATGTACAATGTGGGAACTTTTGACATGTGTAAATACCTGTGGAAACATTCATTCTTCCATCCCTCCATTCATCAGGTAGTAGGTGGCCTTTGTGACAGGCCATGCTCTGGGCTCTGGGGATCTGTGGGGAACAAAACAGATACAGCTTGGGTTCTCATGGGGCTCGTAGGGTGACAAATAAACATGTCGACAAACACAAACATATATATGTGTTTACACACACACGCAGTATATATACGCATGTATAATATATGTAATACATTTAATATGTACTGTTACATATTTATTGCATGACATCAGGGAGTTAGAACTATAGTGAGGAAAAATTAAACTATTGAAGGGACAGAGAATGCCTGCTAATAGAATAAATTTTTATACATATTATTTTGTATGTGTGTGTCTACAGAACACATTTCTAGAAGGGTAATGGCTGGGGTATAGTATGTTAAAGTTGAAGGCTAAAGGGTTAAGGGCCATTTTGTCAGCTATTGCCAAATTGCTGTCCGTGGAGGTTGGACCATTTGACACTCCCCTGCCTCACGGGTGCCCAACTTTCCACGTCCTGGCCAGGACAATGTGGCTTCAAACCGTTTGACCCTTTTTCAGGCTGATTGGTGAAAAGTGGTATTCTAGTCCAGTTTATATTTCAAATGTGAGTGAAATTGGGCATCCTTTCTTTTTTGAGAACTGGTCATTCACATCTCTTGCCCATTTATCTTTTGGGTGGTGGTTTTTGCAATTGATTTTTAAAAGCTCCTTAAGTATTAAATATGTTAGCCTTTTGAATCACAAATATTTTTTACCAACTTATTTTTCTTTCATTTTTGTTTCTGACATTTTTTGCCATGGAGGTATCTTTTTTATGTGGTTCAACCTATCAGTGCTTTCTTTCTTGGTTTCAGGGGTTTGTATCCGTGGAAGGGGTCTTGAGTAGGGATTGACAGGTCAATTTCTGGGAGTTAGAAAGAGCCAAAGGAGGCTGATGTGAGGACTGACCAGTGGGGTAAGACTGGAGGCTGTGAGACCCTGGGTCTAGTTCAGTAGTTCAGAAACTGATGAGAAGAGAAAGTGAATCATGGATCAGTGGTCAGAGAAGCCTGGATGGCTTCTGGGGTGGGCAGGCAGCAGCCAGGAGGAACAAGGAGCAACCTCTGGGTGCTGAGCATGCTGGAGGCAGGGCTTGACCTTTGCACTCAGGGTTTCTGTTCTCGCTCCCCAATCCAGGAGGAGCTGGAGTTCTGCGAAAAGCTGCTACAGACCTGTTTCTCCAGCCCGACGGATGACAGCATGGATCGGTGAAACCTAGTGACTTTTTGCCCTCCTCTCCGTGGGAACCCGTCCTCCTGCCTCCCTCCCCACCCACAAGGTCCTTTCCCAAGGGATCACACAGTCTTATTGGTGCCTGCACCCTGGGCATGCCAGCCCACCTTTGTGCAGACCCCTGGAGGGGGTGCTGAGAAAGGCACCAGCTTTGGACCCCACCTCTCACACTCTCACACTTATCCCCCTTCTCATTTCCACACTGCTCTTCCAATAAAGGTGTTTCTCCTCCACCTCCTTCTTCACTGCTGCCTCTGTCACCTCCTCTGGAAGGTGCATGAAGGGCAGGAGAGGCACAAGCTTAGGGTACTTGGGGAGCCACTGGAGGAATAATAAAAGTGTTGCTCTTTATCATCCACAAAGCTGTTGTCTCCTTTCATCTTTCTGGCCTATCGAGAAGGAGTGTGGGAAACATCAGTCCTTTTTATTCACTTGGCATCCCTAAATTCTCCTAGGTTTGTGTAACTCCCCCCACTACATGTCCATGCCTAACAACACCCATTAAATGTTTTTCCTTAGAGTAGAAGCCATCTTTTCCCCCAGCATCCCTTGCAGTAGATAGTCATGTGACTTCAGCTCCACCAATCAGAATCTGTCAATGGTCTCGCTCCTCCACCAGTCAAAACCTGCCAGATGGTCTGGATGCAGAAGTGGATGCACCTGACTTCTGGGGCAGGCAGGCGGATGTTCTGGTGGTAGTGTCTGAGCTGGGTGTTGGTGATGGAGGCCACTCTGTGTCCCAGGAGCAGGCCTGTAGTTGGGTGTGGAACTTGATACCACTTCAAAACAAGACCTCAAATATGAAAAGGAAAGATTGGCAAACCTAAGGAAACAAATTGAGGACTGTTCTAAATTAGATTGTGCAGTGAATATTCCTTCCATTCCACTAAGTACACTTTCCCACTTATGGTGGGTGGGACATATACACCTGCCCCTTGACCTCAGGCTTGATCGTGTGACCTGATTTGACCAATGGGAGGTGGCAGATGTGAGGTGGCTTAAAATATGCTAACACAGTTGGGCTTGGTCTCTTGTGTACCTGCTTTTTGTTATGAGATGGTGCCTTGGGTAGCCCATTGGTGCCAGAGAGTGAGAGACATGGGGAACAGGACCAAACTTCACACCTGCAGCTCCAAGCTGTGAACATGATACATGCTACTGAGGTTGTCTGCCGTGCAGCAATAGCTAGCTGATACAACGACCAAACAACACCATGGGCCACAAATACACTAAAAATTGTAGGGACCAGAAGAGGCATGGCTGAAAAATCAAATTGCTGACAAGTGTTAGTGAATGCAGGTGTAATGACAAAGATTAATAGAAGCTAACATGTGAAGGAGAAATGCATAACTGGCATTTTTATGCCAAACAAGTAGAACAGAAAAATGTACTCAAACATGTAATTCAATAAAACGTCCCCGAAGAAAAATATCAACCTGTAGGTGAAAAAAAAGTATAAGTTAAGTTCCTCGGTGCTGATAACACTAAGGTCAAGGGTTTGGATCCCCCTACCTGCTAGCCACCAAAAAAAGAGAAAAAATTAAGTTCCTTATACGTACTTACTCATCTGATCCTTACAGCAGACCTCTAAAATGGGCAGGGAGGGGTCTATGAAAGCTGGGGAAACTGAGGTTCAAAACCAGACGGGACCTTAATGAATACTGATACAAGGCCTAGGAGGACCTTTTCAGTTGGTGTTATTAGAGGACGCTTTGTGCAGCAACCGGCAACAATAAAGACAAGGCCTGGGCAAAGGCCCGCAGGGGCAACTAAGGTCAGCCTGAGGCAGGGAGAAGGCGTCGCCAGAAAACGGTGTGGGACAAAAGTGCCTGGCCTTAGTTGGAGGGAAAAGCTGGGATGGAGTTTTCAAGAGCTCGACCCTGGAGCCAAGGCAGAACTACGATTGGAGGAGACAGAATAGAGAATCGACTTCCGAACGGAGAGAGTGTGAAGAGAAATCCTGGAGTAGGATATTAATAAGACATTGGAACGGAGCGGTAGAGAAACTGGCTACTGGCTGTGCAGTGGCGCCTGCGCATTGAGTCGACTGGTTTATTCCGAGACCAAGGGCATAAACGGGCGCAAGCGCATCTAAGGCGGAGGTGTTTCGAAGTGGGCGGGGTCAAGGGCTCCCGGGACCAGCACGCACGCGCACTGAGGGGTCCAGGCGCGCGGCTCTTGTCGCACCTGCGCACCGAGACAACCGCTGGAGGGCGGGGCCTCCTGTGCTGGGGGGATTATGGGATAGTGGCGGAGGGAACAGGCGCCAGGGGCCCTGAGGCGTCCTGCGGCACTTAGAAACCTCGCTGGTTTGGGGAAGAGAGCGGTTCAAGAAGTAGGCTTCGGCTTCCGTCGTTCGTCGCTCAGCCCTGCGGCCCGTTTGGACTGCAGAGGAGGACATTTTACCCTCCCGCGGGGCGCTGGATTGGGCTGGGGAAACCTGGTAGACTTCCCCCGTCCCTTCCCGCTGAATCGCCTGCGCGGGCCTAGCGACCCAGCTAACTTCCACACCCGCCTCGCTTGCGGACCCCGTAGGCGCCCGTGTAGGTCTCGAGAACCGGCCCCCGCAACCGCACCCGGCGCTGACAGCGGAACTCTGCGGGACTCGGCGCGCGAGGCCCCCAGCTGACCCGAGGGCGCGTGCGCGGTCGCCGCGAGCCCCGGCCCAGACGCCTGCGAGAGATCCCGACTCCGACCCCCGCCCCCACACA